GACATTCAACAGGTTATTGACACCAGTAGTGTGAATGTGTGTATACTACAGTATATGGAAAACTATGGTAAGCCAAATAGATTCACAATCTACAATACAGAGTATAGATACAACTGAAGATAATATGCCACATATGATATTAGAACACAGGTGTGTGCAAAACAATAGGTGGTCAGGAAGTTTATATGTTTCACAAATAGAATTCATCCATTTGTAATGCGTCATACGAATGTTATATTACATGTAAGTTGTAATAATAATAATAATAATATGAGGTTTACCGGTTATTACGTGAATACTGCAAAGTATGCACAAAGACAGTACAGTGGGAATATCAACAGGCGTGCAGAGGAAGTCGATGCAAAAGCGTACTGTCTGAGTGCATACTTTGCAGTATCCTCATAATAATCTTATTATTATACATCTTTTCCTCATGAGAATGCCAAAATCCAAAAAGTTTAGAACAGAATCAGCAAACTTCTTTGTGTAGAGTCCAGAAAATCCCTGGTGGCAGCCACGTTTGTTGTTATTATTAGAGGACGCTTACTCGCATAATCATTCTATATTTGGAATTCCCTTTTCCTAATATGGTAGGATGAAAATACTCAGTGCAATACCGCAAAATTACGGCACGCTGTAACGTATGGCGTTATGGTAACAGATGTATAATAATAATTACACCATAATAAATAATGATAGTTCATCTTAAGTTGAAGTAATAAAGAATAAGTATAAAGTATAAAGAAATATTTGATGGAAATCTATAAGCAATATTATGAACCTCAAACAAAACCAAACTTCATACAATTTCTTCCAAAATGCTGGGCTTGACTGATGTGTAATGTGTGGAATGTTTCTCTCGTTTCTCTAATGTGTTTGTGCTATGTTTTATTTTTCTAATGTGTCTGTGTTATTGTTTTCTATGTCTAATGAGTTTGTTTTATTGTTTTCTATTGTCTAATGAGTTTGTTTTATTGTTTTCTATTGTCTAATGAGTTTGTTTTATTGTTTTCTATTGTCTAATGTGATTGTTTTATTGTTTTCTATTGTCTAATGAGTTTGTTTTGTTTTCTATTGTCTAATGAGTTTGTTTTATTGTTTTCTATTGTCTAATGTGATTGTTTTATTGTTTTCTATTGTCTAATGAGTTTGTTTTATTGTTTTCTATTGTCTAATGAGTTTGTTTTGTTTTCTATTGTCTAATGAGTTTGTTTTATTGTTTTCTATTGTCTAATGAGTTTGTTTTATTGTTTTCTATTGTCTAATGTGATTGTTTTATTGTTTTCTATTGTCTAATGAGTTTGTTTTATTGTTTTCTATTGTCTAACATGTATGCATGTGTGTAACTATTGCTGGGCAATATACAAATTAGCTGTAAAGCATGTCAGAATTTCTGTAGACTAAATGAAATGAAAGGATTTTTTTTTTCTCAGTAAAGTATTGTGTTGATAATACATATGCTGTAATGCTGAGTTACTCTAACAATGGGTATTATTATTGTTAATTTATTATGCTAGCATTCACTGTCTGTACAGCTATAGAGCATTAATCACAACATACATGTATGCTTATCAGCACTGTTGTGTTCTGTAGAAATAAATCAAAAATGGATGACATGTATACAAGATTGTGGTCAAAGGAGTGTGCTGTACCATTTAGTGAAACAAGTTCACATGCCTATCACACAGTTAGTACATGCTTATTAAGCATGTGAGTCTAAGGGCATTAAAATGTCAAGTAAGACCCTGCTTCCTGACTTCAAAGCTTTTACTTATGAACTGTGCTACTGGTATAATAATGTTTTCATTCTGGAACAATTCCATGATTTTTTTCTCTGCAGGTTTATTTTCAAATTTTGCGATCATATCCAGCTTACAGTCACCATAGGGACAAATTATTCCTGACTGCACAAAATAAAGTTCCAAATTTTGATAAAGAAAATAGTCAGAATAAATT